GTGATAATGTGAACTGTGAATTCTCAAAAGAAGTTAATTAATGTAGTGTGTCCCAACATTATTTCAGTTAGGACTTGCTTAAGGTGTCACACTGTTATAGAACAATGGAAAGCTAGAAAAATTCTGGGACAAGTGGAATAGAGAAACTGATTCAGGAAAATTAAACAAAGCCAAAAAGCTTTGCAGGCTGCTTGTATCAGAACAAAGGGTTGGAGAAACCAAGATGGCGGCATAGGTTAACGCTGGAGATTGCTGCCTCGAACAACCACTTCAAAAAACAACTAAAAGATGGAACGGACATCATCCAGAACCACAGGAAGGCTGGCTGAGTGGAAATTCTACAACTAGGAGGAAAGAGAATATCATACCCAGACTCAGAGGAGGCGCAGTGCTGAAGTGAAATACTCAGGTGCGGAGTGCGCGCAGAGCAGGCTGGCGATGGAGGGCGCGGTTGTTGTTTTCAATCGGGAGGGAGTTTCAGACTCTGAGCTCCAGATCCGGGTGAGTCTCTAGGGACCCAGACTCAAACGGGAGAAGAGGGACTGTCTGGCTTTGGTCGGAACTCGAAGGCAGCTCTCTCTCCAAGGTTTGCAGTGGTTGCCGGGACTCTGTGAGGCAGAGCCCCTAGGGACGGAACTGAGAGCAGCCATAACTGCTTGCTCCACCCACCCTGTAGATCCCCGGGGACCCGCCCTGCCCAAGCCCTGCACAGAGCCATTTGCCGGATAGCCTCAGGCAAACACTAGATTAGCACCACCCTAGAGATCCAGCACAGAAGCTCTCCCACTGCAGACACAGCGGACTCTCATAGCCAGTTAGCCTGGAGGTCAAATCACCCCTGGTATTGCCGACAACAATCAAGGCTTAACTACAACAAGACTGCGCACAAAGACCACTAGGGGGTGCACCAGGAAAGCATAAAAAATGCGGAGACAAAGAAACAGGACAAAACTGTCAATGGAGGATATTGAGTTCAGAACCACACTTTTAAGGTCTGTCAAGAACTGTCTAGAAGCCGCCGATAAATGTAGTGAGATCCTCAAGAAATCTAATGAGACCCTCGATGTTGTGATAAAGAACCAACTCTTTATCTAGAAATTAAGCATACACTGACTGAAATAAAGAATATTATACAGACACCCAACAGCAGACCAGAGGAGTTCAAGAATCAAGTCAAAGACTTGAAATGCGAAGAAGCAAAAAACACCCAACTGGAAAGGCAAAATGAAAAAAGAATCCAAAAATACGAAGATAGTGTAAGGAGCCTCTGGGACAACTTCAAGCGTACCAACATCAGAATTATAGGGGTGCCAGAAGATGAGAGAGAGCAAGATATTGAAAACCTATTTGAAGAAATAATGACAGAAAACTTCCCCCACCTGGTGAAAGAAATAGACTTACAGGTCCAGGAAGCGCAGAGAACCCCAAACAATAGGAATCCAAAGAGGACCACACCAAGACACATCATAATTAAAATGCCAAGAGCAAAAGACAAAGAGAGAATCTTAAAAGCAGCAAGAGAAAGAAACTCAGTTACCTACAAGGGAATATCCATACAACTGTCAGCTGATTTCTCAACAGAAACTTTGCAGGTCAGAAGGGAATGGCAAGAAATATTCAAAGTGATGAATACCAAGAACCTACAACCAAGATTACTTTATCCAGCAAAGCTATCATTCAGAACTGAAGGTCAGATAAAGAGCTTCACAGATAAGGAAAAGCTAAAGGAGTTCATCACCACCAAACCAGTATTATATGAAATGCTGAAAGGTATCCTTTAAGAAGAGGAAGAAGAAAAAGGTAAAGATACAAATTATGAACAACAAACATGCATCTATCAACAAGTGAATCTAAGAATCAAGTGAATAAATAACCTGGTGATCATAATAGAATCAGGGACATAGACAGGGAATGGACTGACTATTCTTGGTCAGGGAAAGGGGTGTGGGAGATGAGGGAAGAGACTGGACAAAAATCGTGCACTTATGGATGAGGACAGTGGGTGGGGAGTGAGGGTGGAGGGTGGGGCGGGAACTGGGAGGAGGGGAGTTATGGGGGAGGGGGAAAGAAAAACAAATGTAATAATCTGAACAATAAAGATTTAATTAAAAAAAAAAGAACAAAGGGTTAAAACTTCTCACAAAAGAATGCAGAAGATATGGAAGGAAAGGGAAAAGAGGGCAAGGAATCTTAATTCAACTTCTCCTTAACCAGAGACTACTTAGTGCAAATCATCCTGGAGGTGTTAAAACAGCAGGGAGGAGTGGGAAGTATAGTTTTATCTCATCCCAACTGTTTAAACAGAAAAGCCAGAGGTCTAGGGATTTCATTGCCAAGTGCTTCTCATAAATTGTAGAAAAGCCATAACAAAAAAAAGGGGAGACCTTCAGAGTTAATCTGTATCAGGATAACTAGCAGATAATTTTTTTAAAAAAATTTATTGACAAGAAGGTATATAAGGCAGAAATCTCCCACCCGACTTGTTCTTCAGATTAGCTGTAAGCCCATCTGGGCTTCATAAGCCAGATGTAGAGATTTGCTTGCCTTGCTTAATAAATGTGCATGTTTTAATTTTTTAATAAATTCACATTAACACAACACAATTATTATCTGGATTCACTCGTTTGAATTCATTCCTATGAGCATGACAAGAATCAAGTGGGGACAGCCCTCTCCCTCTGGCTCAGGGGCTGTCTGATTAACACTTCTCTGGTGTCTGTGAGAGGGGCCTGTAACAACACTTCAGGAAACACTGTTGCAGGACAAGAGCACAACCAAGTCAATTCAGGTTTCCCCTCCATATTTTATATTCATATCTTTGGAGAAGGTAATTATGCCTTTTATTTAAAATATCTCCTCTAAAAATCTAAGAGAATCTAAATTGTTAATAAATTTTGATTTCTCAAGGGAAAATAAATATTGCTCAGATTTTCAGGCTTATAAGATAACTTAGGCAGTGGTTCTCAACCTTCCTAATGCCACGACCCTTTAATACAGTTCCTCATGTTGTGGTGACCCCAAACCATAAAATTATTTTCGTTGCTACTTCATAACTGTAATTTTGCTACTGTTATGAATCGTAATGTAAATATCTGATATGCAGGATGAATTTTCATTGTTCGAGACCCACAGGTTGAGAACCGCTGATAGAGTATATGTAGGGCCAATTGCCTAGCATAATTGATCCCACCTTCTAAAAATAATCAGCTACTAAAATCTGTGGGTAAAGTCAACCAATTATGAGTCCTTCCTTTAGTGTAAAGACACTTAGATTTAGTCCATCTCAAAAGCACTATTTCTTAACTATAAAATACTGTAACATATAAAGTTGGACTACATGGAATCTATTAAATTTTTTAGGTCTAAAAAATTAGATGAGGCAATACCACTATTCTATATGAGGTTTTCTCAAAAAATTGTTAGGTTTTATGCTATTTTCCAACTTATTGCATTTAATATTTATTAAACAGTTAAAGAGTATTTTTTAAAATTTAGCTTACATATTTTCAAAATCCTGTAGTATAAATTGTTTATACAACACCTCCCTTATATTTATCACTTAAAACTTTAAATATGAGCCCAGCTGGCATGGTTCATTGGTTGAGCATTGACTTCTGAACCAGGAGGTCATGGTTGGATTCCCAGTCAGGGCACATGCCTGGGTTGTGGGCTTCTCCCCAGTAGCAGGGGTGTGCAGGAGACAGCTGATAAATGATTCTTTCTCATCATTGATGTTTCGATCTCTCTCTTTCCTTTACTCTCTGAAATCAATAAAAATATATTTAAATAAAATTTTTAAATGTGAGATTCATTTTAAGAAGCAGATTTTTATATTCGTCTAATGTCTGAAGAATAACTCTATTTAAAAGACACCTATGTCTATGGACTGTGGAGAGAGGCACAATGGACCACAATTTAGTAAAGACTGAATACCTGAAAGCAAAGGATTATCATTCAACCAGAAGCAAAGTAGATTAACAAACTGTCTTTTCAACTGTTATTTTCAAAAGCAAAGGTTAGCTTTAACATTATGAGAGAACAATGTTCTAGTGGGAAAGTAGAAAGATGTTAATAATGACATCTAACAAGTATTCTTTAAGAAATTTTAATCATCAACAAATCAACAAACGAAAAGTGCTGGCGAGGATGTGGAATAAAAGGAACCCTTGTGCATTGCTGGTGGGAATGCAGACTGGTGCAGCCACTGTGGAAAACAGTATGGAGTTTCCTCAAAAAGTTAAAAATGGAACTCCCATTTGACCCAGTAATCCCACTTCTAGGACTATATCCCAAGAAATCAGAAACACCAATCAGAAAGGATATATGTACCCCTATGTTCATAGCAGCACAATTTACAATAGCTAAGATTTGGAAACAACCTAAGTCATTGATGGCAAACCTCTGACACGCGAACTCATTTTTTTGGTTGATTTTTCTTTGTTAAATGGCATTTAAATATATAAATATATAAAATAAATATAAAAAATATAAGTCTTTGTTTTACTATGGTTGCAAATATCAAAAAATTTCTATATGTGACACGGCACAAGAGTTAAGTTAGGGTTTTTCAAATGCTAACACGCCGAGCTTAAAAGGTTCACCATCACTGACCTACGTGCACATCAGCAGATGAATGGATTAAAAGACTGTGGTACATCTACACAATGGAATGCTACGCTACTATAAAAAAGAAGGAACGTATACCATTTGCAACAGCATGGATGGAAGTGGAGAGCATTACGCTAAGTAAAATAAGCCAGTTGGAGAAAGATAAATCATGATCTCACTCATATGTGGGATATAATGATCAACATAATTTGATGAACAAGAATAGATCCAGAAACAAATGGCAGAGGAAGGGGGGATTAGAGAGCAACCAAAGGACTTGTATGCATGCATATTAGCATAACAATGGACACAAACACTGGGGCGATGGGGGCTTGCCGGGGTGGGAATGGCTGCAATAAAAAAATTATATATATGAAATTTTAATTACTTACCTGTAATGGACCCAAGATAGAACTTGTTGTATACATGAAAAAGAGCCGAAGATAACTCAGAACATTTGCAAATGCAAACAGCCCTTCTGCCACCAGTGTAGGATGAAATGCATCCCAGTCTTTCCGATCAGCAAAGTCATGAAACTAAGGAAGAAAAAGCCAAAGGTAAATAGCTCTCTCAATTCAGTAAAATAAAAACTTATTCCAATTATTGAAAAAAAACAAACATTTTAATTATGTTTCCTTGTGGGAGGTCACTATGTTTTATAAATTTCTCTTCTTTTAATAGAAATAAGATTGTTTTAACAATAAAATATTTCTACACAGATGAGGCAATATCACTATTCTATATAAGGCTTTCCTAGAAATTGTTAGGTTTTAAGAAATTAAAGTTTTAAAAACTGTTATTAAACTTTTTATGAATAAATGTTTACTAGTTTTTCTTAAATTCCACAACACAAATTTTAAATACGTTTACATGTCAAATTATTACCTATCCTATTAAATTAACCTTGTCCCTTGAATTAGGATTCTAGAATAAGCCATAGAAGTTCTTCTCCTTTTTATATGCAAAGGAATGCTTTGTTACCTAGACATAGAGTGGCCACATGCTCCAACCACCTGGGATAGTCAGATTATGTACCAGTTTTCCTGGCATAATTATTAACAGCATCCATCCCTTTTCATTTCAAACTGTTTAAAATGCTTGATTAATATATGATTTGGGCATCCCACTTCTAGAGCTAAAGAGACCAGTCTAATAAAACAATGACCCTCAACTCTTTATTGAACTGTATATCTATGTATAACCAATTTTTATTTTTTAGTAATCTCAAAATTCTGGTCACTGACCATATTTAACATGTTCCTACTACTAATTACTTAAAAGAACAGTTTTTAATAAAGTAAAATGATGTTAGATAACCAGTTCACCTTTTATAGTTTATAAGTTAGTATAAAAACAAAAAAACAAAAACCCACACATAAAAAAACCCAGAAAACAGAAAATCCTGTATCATTTAGTTCTTTAAATGTGACTCCTCAGAATCTAAACTCTTTAAACAAAGACAGTTAACATTGGAATGTGTAAAACACTATATAATTAATTTCATTCAGATAAACTTTTTATCTCTGGCAGATATAAAGATATCTAATGCTAATTAATTGAAGTAACTTTGTGTTTTCATTTTAAGTATATAAAGGTTAATGAGGTACATAAACCTAGCTCAGATATAAGGAATCAGCATGTGGTAGAAAGAAAATGCCTAGACAGACCTGGATTTAAATCCAGTCTTGCTTGGTTCCTTACTGTGTGGACTTGGATAAGTTACTTAATACTTCTGAGCTTCATTTTCCTTATTGGAAAAAAGGGGATAAGGACAAAGAGTCTCAAAGAGTCCCTGTGAGGATAAAATGAGATAAGTATAAAGTAAGTATTAAACCATGGTGCCTGGCATTTAATAGATAACCAACATTCACAGGTAATTAAGATCGTTAAACTACTGGAGAGGAAGGAAGCAATGCGCGCTATTCCCTTGCACGGGATAGCTTTAAAATGAAAACACATCAGATACAGATTTGAGCCAATGGAACTCAGACTTAGGTAGCTAAATATCTCAGGTTTCTCCTAAAGAAATTTCACTTGTGTCTCCAATTGACATAGTTAATAGTCACCTTGTTGTGAGCAACCACTTTCAGGGCAAAGGTTGCCAAATAAAGGGAATTCATGACGAAACTGAGTTGATTACGAGATTCTTCTAAAAAGTCTTCCAACCCTTCATACCAGAGTCTTTTAATGTCTGACCAAATCATCCCTAAAAAAGAAAGAAAAAAAATCAAATAACGCTCTTACTTTCATGGAAAAACACTTTTAGGCTCAAAGTATTAAATAACATTTGCATCAGCTGTAGCCTCATTAAGAAGAAATAAAAAAAAAAAACCCTCTCAAAATTTGAAAGAAAATAATCTTAAGTTTCATATAATAATATCTTTCCCAGAGAGGGAGTAAAGTCAAACAAGCAGAAGAAAACAAATAAATTGATCACACACACACACACACAGACATCCCAAAGGCTCAGTTCCAGTTCCTTTCTCTATTCATACTCACTGCTATAGTGACCTCATCCAAATCTAGTCTAATGGCTTTCAATAACATATGTGTCAGACTTTCAAATTTATCTCTCTAAACTCAACTTTATTTATGTAATAATCAATATCTCTAAACCTCTCTAAAATCCCACTTGTATAGACACTTAGCTGCTCTGTCTCCAAATGGATGTCCTACATGTCCAAACTGAACTCTTAATCTCTGACCCTAAATTCACTGCAGTTGAAGACCTCCCTATTTCATTGGATGGCAATTCCATGCTTCTAGTTGCTCCATCCAAATTAATCATTCTTGACTCATATTTCTTTTAAACCACACAATCAATATAGTAGCAAAACCTTTTGGTTCTACTTTCAAAATATACTTAGGATCGAACCCTTCTCACTACCATTTCAATTTCAAGCCACTGTCATCTATTGCTTGAATTACTTAATAGCTTCCCTGGTTTCCCTTCTTTTATTCTGATCTCCCTAAAATCTATTCTCAACATAGCAACTAGAGTAATCCTTTTAAGATGCCAAGTGTTACTTTTCTCCTCAAAACCCTGTAGAAACTCCCAGAGGAGAAAGGATTGACTGCAGGTCAGAACTCTTTCTCCATGGGAACATAACCTCATGGTATCATCAATTATGAAAACATACCAGGTTAAGAAAAATAAGGACAGCCGTGTTCAACATTGTAACAATAACCACTCACTGGACACTGCCTGTGGACCAGGCTGACTGTGAGTGAACTCAGAGGCCCTGCAGGCACACACAGCAAGAAGAAAAGACATGCCGAAAAACAGGCCTCAGCTCCTATGTGTAATGTCTCTCCTAACGTAGGTGTGTGCCTACAGTGGGAGGTACACTCTTGGGCTTTATAAGACATTAGAGGCCTGGTGTATGAATTTGTGCATGGGTGGGGTCTGGCCGGCCCGTCCTCATCTGGGTTGGGTGGGCTGGGCCGGCCAGGGGGACGGAACATGGAAGGTTGGCCGGCTGGCTTCAACCCCAATTGGTGTGGGGGAGCTGATCGGGGGGGCGGTTGGCCTGGCAGCTCCACCCTGGTCAAACTCCCAGTCAAACTCCCAACAGAGGGGACAATTTGTATATTAGTCTTTTATTATATAGGATAGTTCCTGCTAGATTCGAGGCCTTTCTAGCTGGTGTAGCTCACACCCACCCATATGGCCTCATCTCATAAAACTGAGTGTACCCACTATGGGGTTTTGAAGCAGCCCCAAACTTTTATAAGAACTGCCAATAAAGACCTATTTGAAGCTGTCATGTGGTCTGCTGTACTTTCTGTATCTTTCTACAAAGCTCAATACAGCTGGTACCTATTGGGTCCTGTGAGTGAGAATGAGGTTGGGAACCCAAATCACTGCTGCTGATTGTGCAGAGTGGGCATTGCATCTTCCCTTATATCTCATTTTACTTGGAGTCAAAACCAAATGCCTTACAATGGCCCACAGAATTACACTGTCTCCTCTCCTATTGATCTTTCCTTCCATCACTCTGGTCACACTGGCCTCCTTGATTCCTTGCTGTTTTTTGACTCCTGCCTTCAGGCCTTTACACTCTCACTTCCCTTGGTTGGAAGTTCCTCACCCTGATATCATCTGGCTAACACCCTCACTTCATGTCTTTACCTACCACCTACTCTTATTGCCCTATTTAAAACTGCAAACCCCATGCTCCCCACTCCCAATCCCCCAACTATGCTCTCTTTCTTTTTCCTTAGTACTTATCATTTTTAAACATTGGATATAGTTTACTTAGTATGTCTATTATTAACTATCTTCCCCTCATTTTGGGTGAGCTCTTCAAGGGTAAGAATCCTAAATGTAAATGTCCTGAGTAGTGCCTGACACATATGGGTACTCAAAAAAAAAAAAAATGCTAAATGAATAAATACACACAGATAAAAACAAACAAAACTATGAAGAGCCAGAGGTTTCTTCATGGATACGTACATATATATATACTAGAGGCTCAGTGCATGAAATTTGTGCACCCGGGTGGGGAGTCCCTCAGCCCAGCCTGTACCCTCTCATAGTCCGGGAGCCCTCAGGTGATGTCCTACTGCTGCAGAGGTGGGAGAGGCTCCTGCCACTGCTGCTGCACTCACCAGCTGTGAGCCTGGCTTCTGGCTGAGTGGCGCTCCTTCTGTGGGAGTGCACTGACCACCCTGGGGCAGCTCCTGTGTTAAGTGTTAGTCCCCGGGTGGTCAGTGCATGTCATAGCGACTGGTCCTTCCTCCATTTCAGGGGTCCTCAAACTTTTTAAACAGGGGGCCAGTTCACTGTCCCTCAGACCGTTGGAGGGCCAGACTATAGTTTAAAAAAAAAACTATGAACAAATTCCTATGCACACTGCACATATCTTATTTTGAAGTAAAAAAACAAAACAGAAACAAATACAATATTTGTATTTGCATGTGGCCCACGGGCCATAGTTTGAGGACCCCTGCTCCATTTGGTCAATTTGCATATTAGCCCTTTATTATATAGGGTATATTCCTGGGAGAAGAATAATATAATCCAGGATCATTTTATGATACATTCCTTCATTAAGATATTTTTAAAGATTATGAAATAAAAAAATACTAGAGTGTTGCAACATAACATATGGCTGAATATCAAGTTAAGTCAATCAGAATCATTCTCTGGCTTACCAGAAGGTAGAATAGTTCCCCTGAGAAACACATGAAGCATTCTTGAAAAAAACTGTTCATAACATCTTAATTCTATAGTATCCATATTTTATGTAGAAAAAAAATTACAAATATTTGCAGATCTGGGAAGAAAAACACTTTTAAAAATTCCACTTGGTCCTTGGCTGGTGTGGCTCAGTTGGTTGGATGTCATCCCGTGCACCAAAAAGTTGCTGGTTCAATTCCTGGTCAGGGCATATACCCAGGTTGTGGGTTCAATCCCTGGTAGGCAGTATGCAGGAAGCAGCCAATGTTTCACTCTCACACTGATATTTTTCTCTCTCTAAAAATAAATTTAAAAAATCTTAAAATTCCACTTGGATGAGCTTCTATTTAAAATGAAGAGATAAGGGGAAGGGATAATGGGGGATAAAAACGTCCTATATAATAAAAGCCTAATATGCTAAGTGTCTGGTGGTCCAGTCGGCCATTCAACTAATCAAAGCATAATATGCTCATGAAATGTAAGGCCACTCAACCGCTCACTATGACGTGCACTGACCACCAGGGGGCAGTCGACCAGTAGCTATGATGTGCACTGACCACCAGGGAGAAGACGCTCTGACCGGTAGTTTAGCTTGCTGCGGGGTCCAGCCGACCAGGACTGAGCGAGATGGGCCGGAAACACCCTGGAGCCCTCCTAGGGTCCTTCCCCAGCTGGCCAACTTCCCATGTCCCTCTCCAGCCCTGTTTGTGCACCAGAGGGGTCCCTCAGCCTTGCTTGCGCCCTCTCACAATCTGGGACCCCTTGGGGGATGTCAGAGAGCTGGTTTCGACCCGATGGCGGCGGAACAACCAGTTGCTATGATGCTCACTGACCACCAGGGGAAAGACGCTCAATTCAGGAGCTTCCCCCTGGTGGTCAGTGTGCTCCCACAGGGGGAGTACCGCTCAGCCAGAAGCCGGGGATGAGACAGGAAGCCTCAGTGGCAACACTAAGGATGTCTGACTGCTGGCTTAGGACCACTCCCCACCTAAGCCATCAGTTGGACATCCCCGGGGGCTCTCAGACTGTGAGAGGGTGCAGGCCAGGCTGAGGGACCCCCCCACCCCAAGAGCACAAATTTCATGCACCAAACCTCTAGTAAAATATAATGGACAGCTAAACTATCTGAAATAGTCTACATTTTATGAACTCAAACACTGTGACACTAAAACACTAAGCAAAAAAAAAAAAAAAAAAAAAAAAAAAGCTTATAGAAATAAGTAAAATTGCATCCTGAAAATGCAATGTTATACCTTAGGGCAGTACGGCAAACCTATGACATGCGTGTCAGAGGTGACACGCAAACTCATTTTTTTGGTTGATTTTTCTTTGTTAAATGGCATTTAAATATATAAAATAAATATCAAAAATGTAAATCTTTGTTTTACTATGGTTGCAAATATCAAAAAATTTCTGTATGTGACACGGCACCAGAGTTAAGTTAGGGTTTTCAAAATGCTGACACGCCGAGCTCAAAAGGTTCGCCATCACTGCCTTAGGGGAACTCTTGACAAAAATTAGAGCATGAATTGGAAAAGATTTTTGATGAAAAAAAGGCAGACATTAAAGAATATTAAGTACCACCATCAGGTAGTTTCCCACCTCCTGTGCAACATCCCACAATAAAAATGCGACTCATACACTGGACATATTTCATGCTTCTAAACTGGACTGGAAGAACAAAGTAATTTTAAGCTACAGGTTGTCCCCCCAAAATGTATACACACTTTAACAGCTGATAGCTTAATTTTGAAAATGAAATGTATTTTAATAAACACTGACTTTATAATTATTCAAAGTGTATATATACATTTTTTTGGACTTTATATTATAAGCAATGCAATCACTACATAATCAACGTACCATATTTAGGGTCCTTCTTGTTTTGCTTTTTAGAATCAGTAACTAACATTAGTAAATTGCAATCTCATCATTTGAGGATTCCTCAAGGTTTGCTCCTAGGTCCTCTCTTTTTCTAATTTTATACTTTCTCCAGTGTCACATCCATGACCAATTTATTCACA